GGTAGAGGGAAGGCTCCTGAGGGAACAGGCACGGAGCTGGGCTCAGGACTGCTGCCTGCCCTCGTGGGAACGGGGGGAAGGCAAAAAAACCTTAACGGGCACAGGGAAACAAAAACAGGGCCAAAACAAGGATGAAACCTCAGAGCAACAAGAAACCCTGGAGGCACCTGCATCCTCTGGAGCTCAGCAAGGTAAAAAAAAAAACAAAAACACAAAAAAACCACCCTGGGTGCTGTCAGGTACCTGCTACCCAAACTAACCATACTGTGAAACGCCACGAGTGAAAGAGGGAGGCAGCCCAAAGCGTTTATTTGCTTGGTTTAGCACTCAGTGAAATGGATACCATCACCAATCGCCCAGCTCCGTTCCCAACCTGCCAAAGCAGCACACACCAGACAGTTTACTTCTAAATCTTTATTTGTTTTCTACACAGAAAACGTAGGAATGTTGAAGCAGCAATGTTTAAACACACTATCAAGAAGCCATCAATCTGTGAGAGAGCACAAAGTGTGACACAGGGCCATTTGTGCAGTGGTCTCTGCTAAGGGGCAGGGTGAGGGCAGGTCCAGGAACAGCCTCTTCAGGCAGGTGGGAGAGGTCTATGCAAAGGTGGAACCATTCCAGCCCACATTGGCAGCATTCATGTCAAAGTAGTTGATGTAGACCCTGCAGAGAGGCACAGGAAGACACAATGACCTTAAATCATTTATAGTAGTAATGAGTGAAACAAGACAACAGAATGGGGGAGAGTGCTTCCCATCCCTCAGAAGTTTCAAGCTTAATTTTTAGGAGAGAAGTTCACTAGATTTCAGTAGAGCCTCCAAACTGTCAATATTCCTTGGAGTCCCTGGAATTGTACTTTTAAGTTGTTTTTTTTAAAAAATACAAACTACTCTTCTCCACTCGGGGACCATCCAGACAACATGCAGCTTTTGTTCAGCAGCCTGTCAAGAATTTCCAGAGATCAAAACCTTTTGTTTCTGAGCACTGCTGTCCTTCACACGTGTCAGACAGCCAGGCAGCCTTATGAAAGCCAAGCAGGCCCTCGGGGCTGGCTCCACACTTCTCCCTTCCAACTCCAGTTTGTCAGTGGCAGCAGGTTCTGTTCTTCCCATCCCAAGGCACCACAGGCTGCAAGGGAGCTGCTCACAGCCTGCTGGCTTCTGTGTCTTTCAGTTCCAGCCTGTTACTGCTCCTCCCTTGTGTTCTCAGCCTCCCATCACCAGAGGACATCACACCTCAGCAGCAAAAAAACACACCGTACAGCTTGTCAGTCCTCTGGGATTTTTTCCCTAACCCTGAGAACAGGAAGCCATTTAACTGAGGACTCCAAAAGGGAAGAATTAGGCATCAAGCTCTTCAATGGACAAGAGAACACTGCAAACAATCACTTTGTATTTTCTCAAACACACAAACTTATTCCTGGCTTTCCTGTATTTTTAAACAAACTTTTCAAATCAGTTTCAGAAAGCCAGATAAACAGGTCTAGTAACATCAGGCCCCAGCCTTACCTGTCTGCAGATACATGCAGGTGCTTGGACATCAGATCACACAGGAGCTTGGTGTAAGTCTTGTTCTGCTGCCCTCCGATTTTGCCGATGCTGTAGAGGCTGCAGAGCGCGCAGGGATCAGTGGAGCCCCCGAAGGACATCATCTGATCGGGTATGATGTGCACCGCGATGTACTGTAGCGAGAGAGCCAATGGTTACAGGGTAACTCCCCTGCCCTCTGCCGATACAAACCCGCTCGGGGTACTACGGAAGCAGGGCAGCTGCGTGCTGTGTCCCTTCGCACCCGTGGAGACCCAGGCCCCCCAGGCTGGGGATCCCCCAGCCCAGCACTCGGTGCAGGCTGTTCCTGCACAGCCCCGGGCTGCCCGCCGCAGCGAAGAGCACATGGCAGGAGATAAAGGCCTTCAAACGGTATTTGTGTGCCAGAATTCACACCCTCAAATCACGGACTGAACCACCGGGCGTGTCTAAGGGCTGCTCTGCAACTCTGCGGGCGGTGGCTGCAGCAGGGCCCGCGGGGCTGCACTGGTTTCGGGGTGTCCCGGAGCAGCTCAGCGGGCAGGGGCGGCCCGGGGCTGAACGCCGGTACCTGCTCCCGCGCTGTGCCAGACCCCCCGGCAGCCACGGCCCCATCCCCAGCCGCGCAGCCCCAGGGCTGAGCCCCCAGCACGGACAAGCCCCCCCAGCGCTGCGGCTGCTG